GTGTAAAGTTTAGACATAATTTAATAACTGGTTGTGGGATTTGTGGCAATACTCTTTTGAAATGTTTCATCAAAAAAGAGGCGTACGGTAGCCCTGCGTAAGCCCATCGCAGACATTAAAAAACAATTACAATTCCGTTCCAAAATGGCGGTCTGAGTACGGTAATGCGTCATTTGATTTGCGTCGAAGAAAAGTCTGATATAGATGTCGGTTGGATTAAGAATATTTATGATTCTATTGTTCGTCACATTATATATAAACCGATTTTGCATTCGCCAATTAATAAAGACGTTCACACGCGATATTTAGCTGTGGTAGGGCCAAGCAGCAGCCTTCACTATTGTACGAATGGGCAGATCCGTCTGGGAAAGTACCACGAACTCACAGAAGACCGGCGTGAAGTGGAACTGTTTGTTACATTATGCGTTTCGTCTGGTGAGTGCGGTAGCCGGGGCCCACTTTATTTAAAGGTGGCAACGCATCTGCAACCCTACTCATAAGGTATAGAACTAAGTCTATTTAATATCTCATATAGGGGATTTATTTAAAGAGAAGTAATGTAGTAAGTAGTTGGTAAATAGTATTTATCTGTAACGTGTTTTTAGTAATTTCTTCGTTCTAGATTATAAGGAAAAAGAATAGTCAAGTTTAATCAATATTAAATTCTATATAGGTACGTACTTTATACGTCACTATAACAAGGAATTGGATTTTATTAAAAATGGAATGTTTACTTTATAACTTTCCGAAATCTTAAGATGCACGTCGTAACTCAGGACAGGAAAAAATAAAGCTTAGCATAAGGGATCTAATTCTAAATTTGTAGCTAGATTTAATCTGGCACGCCGCCAAAAATGTCGTTGACCCCTTAAAGGCCGCCGCGTCATTCGGTTGCACGGGATTATACTCGCGTTCTAGGATCAAACTCGAATGTTATAAAGCACGATCCGATACCAAATGAATTGAAATATCGGTATAGATAATTTTCGGTACAACAAAATTACCAAACTAAGTTACCAAAGTTCGTGTACCAACGACAAACTCCAGTAAAAAGCTTTGAAACATCTTCATAGTAGGCCTAAAAACTTCAATTCTTCGGAGAATTTTTCACTGTGTAGAGGAACACCCCGGATATACTTGTCTGAAAACAGATGACAGAATGGGGATTAATCCCGCTGTCTGTCTGTCTAATTAAAACTACGCAACGGATCTTGATGCGGTTTTTTTTACTAGATAGAGTGATTCAAGAGGTAGGTTTATATGTATAATACATTACTCAACTATAACTATATAATAAAACATCTATGTGGCCAGTCCAAGGCAGTGGAATCGCCGCTGCCCGATAGCTATTAGGTACATAACTCTTAAAATTCTAATTTTTCTGACAAAATTTTCGATCAGTACCGATGAGTCACCGAATGGTAATACAGTAATGTATAAATAATAGTTTATCAATGACATATTTTTATTTTATGTGAAAAGTTGCCAAGCGAGCAAACGGTTCACCTGATGTTAAGTGAATACCGCCGCCCATGGACATCTGCTAAACCCGAGGGTGCCAGATGCGTTGACAACCTTTTGAAAATTGGGCTCCGGCCACCTCACTCACCAGACGAAATGCGAAAGTCTTATACTTCCACTTTACGCCGGTCTTTCGTGAGGTCGTGGTACTTACCCGGACGAGCCTACCCATTCGTGCAACAGCCGAGGCTGCTGCATGGCCATGTATAAAATACCACCGTATTATCAATGATAGGTATGTAACTTATTTTGAAGAATACATTTTTTTCAGTTTACTTCGCTGTCTTTTATTTAAACATGTTTTCGATAGATGGCATTGTCATACGTTCTTTATAAGAAATTTTAATAGTTTTTTTTACGAAAACATTAATTTCAATTTACTTGGTTTACTATTATATATTTCAATAGCGTTCGACTGTAATATTTTTCGGTATAGATAAATGGTGTTAGAATCGTTAAATTTGATGAAGAATTAAGGTAATTATACCGTACTGAGAAAATACACATTCGTAACTACGTAAATAAATTTAATTAAAGAAATAAATATATTGGAATATATTATAACAAAATGTTATCTAGTCCTAAAGTACGCAAAGCTGGTATGTACTATGTAACTGATAAACATAATTAAAGTTGCGACTCTTTTATAAATAAATGCATAATTATAGGTATATAAACACCGAGACACTAGAAAAAAAAAAAATTATGTTCCTCACACAATATTTTTCCAGTAGTGGGGATCGAACCCACACCACGCGAAAGAGCACATGTAAAATTGGGGCCCTGTGTACGTATATGTTCCGTACCAATTATCGTTTGCAACATGTTTTTTTTTTAAAAGGATGTTACCGAAAGGGCAGTTACCCTGACTGTTTCTAGGGCGAGCAACAGCAGTTTCGGGCGTGTTTTACGACAATAAACATTTGCGGACTTTGCACGGCCGAGTTGAACGGCCGATCCGCGATCAGCGCAACTAACGGACGCAGCCGACTTCGTCCGCTGATTAACGTACAAGAACACTAAGATGACGCAGCCGACTTCGTCTATTAACGTAAGAGAACAGAAAGATCCATGACGAGCTTCTCTTTTCATGTGATAACCGCCGCCCATCGACATTTGCAACACCCGAAGGCTTGCAGATGCGTTGCCACCTTTCAATAAAGTGTCCACCAGAGGAAACGCCGAAGTCTAACACTACCATTTCACGCCGGTCTTCTGTGATGTCCTGGTACTTCTCCGGACATACTTGAACATTAGTTCAACAGCGAACACTGTTACGTGGCACAACCACAGTTACTTTGCCATATTGTTGGTATATAAACTACATATCATACACATACCCTCTGTAAAAAAGAGGAGGCCTTCGCCCAGCAGTGGGATGTGTATAGGCTGTTACTTCACTTTGACTTTTAAACAAATTTCAAAATAGGCTCCCTTTTTTTAACGTGGGAAAAATCCTATATGGATCCTCTGGCGACAGATCTGATATGAGTCCTGGTCATAACGGAACGGGTACCCAATAAAATACCCAAGACAAGAACATGAAGAAACAATCTTCCGCGAAGAAAATAGACACCCTAACATATTAAAAATAAGTGTAAACAATTTTCAACATTTTATCAAAGCTCCCCTAATGAAAAGGGGCTTTTATAATGTCGATAAAGACATTGAGGACAAGAATGTGTGGAAATGACTCTTGCTATGCACCTACAAGTCCCCTGGCTGCTGCTGATTTTATACTTAAATACTTTTGTGTTATTACATAATTAAAAAAGATGAGACCGCGGATGTTCTTGCCGGTTCTTCTCTGGACAGGTCTAGTTTAGTGAACCGGTCGGTATTAGTATTTTGACGTTCAATAAGAACTTAAAACAAGCCTTTCTTCAATAAAGAAATTTTGACTTTAACTTGACCCAACTAGAATAAGCAGACTAAAAAAGTCCTCTTCTGTTTCCAGTTTTGTGGTCGTTTCGTTAAACTTTATCCGTGCTGTCTCAAATATTCCCGTATACAAACAGACAAATCCACGAAAGTGTGATAACATAGAAAATATTTCATCGATGACGTTAATCGATTAAACTATCTCGTTAGCCCGCCGTAAATTAACCGAAGGCGAATACGGAAGGACGTAAAAATTCGCAAAATAGCAACTGTCGTGTAAATAAGGCTGGACTATTTAAATGTCGGCTATTACATTTTTTCCCGTTCATTGACCCATTAAACAGAACGCTACGACTTTCGCAACCAGATATAGAGAGGTAAGTTGAACGCAATCTACACTGCCCTAGAAATCGGACAAGTGCTGGTACGGGCATCGGCGGTTCGAACCCCATGACCATCGCGTTGTGCTCCTGTAAAGGTTCCCTGAAATAACAGCAGCGCTGTTACTAACACTTAAAAGTAAATAGAGCATGAAAAAATTTTCAACACAGCTTCTGCTGGAAGTGCCACGACAGAAGACCAGTGGCGGATTTACCAGTAGGCTTAAAAGGCCAGAGCCTAGCGCGGCAGATTTAAGGGGGCGGCAAATTTGGCCCAATAGTTTTTGTCCTACAGTGCGTTTGTGTGCGCTAATCTCAGAAACGGCTTAACCGATTTGGCTGCAACTTTCGCTAATGCACTGTAGTCAGCTGAAAATGAAAATTAAAACGAAAATATGTTTATTGACTTCTTCTTCACTTAAATAATGTTAATATTACTTTTATTTAAATCAGTTCACAAATACAAAAGTTATATCAACTTGTAACATAGTTTTCATATTTTATTGTAGTTTTGTAGGTTACTATTCTTCTTAAATGAAGTGTTTTATTTGATGTTGTGTTTACCTCTGATTTAAATGCAACTTAATTTTTAAATGCATCACATCAGAATAATATTTTTTTAAATGTATTTAATTGGTAATCCATAAATATAATTGGTTTAAATTAATAAACATCGAATAGCAATCACCATCTATTAAAAATTAATCAACTAGCATGCTATAAACTCAGAAGCGCCTGTATATTACGAATGGCAAAGGGATAATAAAAGCATATTTGCTCAATTAAATGTATAAGGGATTTGGTAAAACGCTCTTGCTTATATTTTTGTCCATAAAGTAGGATTTGTTTAAGCTCTTCGCTTACTGTTGCACGAATGTGCAGGTGGCGTGGCCCTACCACAGTTATAATGTGTGTATATATATATATATATATATATACATACATATATATAGGTTAAATTAGTATTACTAATCTATATTAGTATTAGTTCTATCAGCCTACGCCATGAAAATGCCATATTATCGTATTAATTCCGCTGTTTGTACCGGCTTGTACAAAAAAAATGTTAAATAAATAAATTGAAACACCATTGTGAGTTTTAGATATTCATTGATTTTTAGATTTATACGAAGAATGAGCAGAAAACATGGTAAGCACAGAATACCACAAACTATAAATAAACTTACGGTGGTAGGGCCACGCAACACTGTTGCAGTAATGGGCAGATCCGTTCGGGTAAGTACCACGACCTCACAGATGCCCGGCTACCTCACTCACCAAACGAAACGCCGAAGTGTAACACTTCTACTTCACGCCGGTCTTCTGTGAGGTCGTGATACTGACCCAGACGGACCTGCCCATTCGTGCAACAGCGAACACTGTTGCGTGGTCCTAACACCTACAACGTTTGTACGTGTAAATAGAATTTTAACCGGCGTTTTAACTATTTTTGTATTCGAGGCTTCTTTCACTGGAGGTCGCGTTGTATTGCGCTACGACGGATAACATTTTTCTTGTCAATGACCGGAATACGATCTCGCGACCCCGAATGCGAAACTCAGCTATTAATTACTAGAATTAAGACAACATAAAAAAACTTAAGACATTCGTGAACAGATGACGTTTTTTACATAGGGATATTGAGAATAGAATTATGACAACATAAAAAATTAAGACATCATTCGTATACAGATGATGTTTTGGTCGTAACATTGGAAAATGATAAATTACGTGATGGCAATAACTAAAACAATAATAAACAATGCCTCATATTATTCTTTAAATAATGAATTAATTTTCATTTCGTTTTTCGTTAACATTTTTCGTTTCTGCAAACGAAAAAGCTAACTCCAACGCGGGAGAGATTGTTTACAAGCATCGAATGAACTTCGTACATAGAATCTAGTTTGCGGTGGAATAAGAACAAAAAAACTCTTTATGTGCCAGAGAAATCCAATTGAAACTCTGTTTGAAACGCATTAAGATAAATTTTTCATTGGCGACCGTTAGTTCTATAAAGAGACGAAAAAATTTATGGACCTCGTTTTGCTCATAAATCTCATCTTCTAATATATAAAAAATATGTATAAAAAAACATCCATACTATTTCATTTTTGCTGGTGTACGTTTTGTAAACAGTTTCAGCACTTGTTGTTGCAGAAATTGTAAGATTCTTAAAAAATGGGAGCGTGTACTTATGTACGCGCGTGAGAAGTTATAGGTACTTCTTTGGCATCATTGAAAAATAGTTTTTATTTGCATGCAAATAATTAATTACAATAAAATAATAAAAAGACTCGGAAAGGATACAGATAATAAAAATAATAAAATTATGAAAGCGCCATCTACATTCTTTATTGGGAACTGTAACGGGCTAACGTAATTGAGAATATACTGCCATCTATAAAAAATAAGCGGTTTAACGGGCAGCTTCAATACTCTCATAATTTTTTCATAAGAGGCCTAAAGAAGTATAACTTCAATAACATGTAAGTAGGTATGTGATGTTTTTTGCAAAATAGATCGGAACTTAAAACAAATAACAACTTTATTATTTTGAATTGATAATTTATATTATATCGCCTCTGTTATATTGTATCATATATTATGTATACAATGTGATGTACACATGATAAAAGCCAGAAGCGGGCTTTCTCTTGAAACCGGTCTCTTGAAGAGCGCTATGAGATCCTTTATATGATATACCAATATAAAATATCATTGCTTTGTCGAACAATTGGCATGTACCTACTATCTCAGGACCTTAGACCGTCATGAAGGGGCGCAATCATTTTACTGGTTTCCCCACCTTATATGCCATTTACGAGACCGCTAAAAAGCAAAAAATATTTTAAAAATGTCAAGGATATGAGATGATTCAATAAAAATTGTCTGTAATGAATTCGCGCCATAAAACGTAGTAAAAATTGTTTTTATAAAACCAGCCTGTGTCAAAAAATTAAAACCGGAACATTTTTTAAAGAACACGGTATATTTAGAACCAACCAGTAACATGTTCATAATTTTTTAAAACCAAGTATTGTAATTTTTTATGCACGAGAAAATGAATACCAGAAGTATTTTTTTTCCTTACCAATATTGTAAACGCGAAAGTTTGTATGTATGGATGTTTGTTACTTCTTCACGCAAGAACTACTTAATGAATTTTAATGAAACTTTACAATAATGTAGCTTATACTTCAGAATAACACATAATATTATAATACACATAAATATATTTACACATAGAATAATTTATAAAGATACAAGGGTCTGTAATTCTGTTTGTGTTACGCCTTCACGACTAAACCGCAATTATGATGAATTTTGGTATAAAAATAGATAGGACCTTGGAGCAGAAAATAAGCTACTCGAAGTAATAATCATGCGCAGATAAAGTTACGGGCGCCAACTAGTGAGTGTATAATAATATTTTTTGAGGTCTATTAGTTCTTTATTAACGTTTCAAGTACACTGTGCAACGAATAGTATATTCAAATATTCGGGGGGGACTTCGTAAGCCGAATAGCCGAAAATTAGGCAAAAATATTGGGCCGGCGAGAGGCGGGAAATTTTTTATCGACGTGATTGTTTCTCCTTTCTTATTTTATTTATTTATTTTATTTTATTGTTGTAACAAAATCTACACCACTTTGTTAAATATATATAAATCTTATTACTAAAACTTACAGCCAATTTAGATTTACATTATTCTGCTAAATTATTTAAATTACGACAGTAGAAAGACATGAAAACTTTTGATACTTATGGGTTACTTGTGCGTGCGTGCATGCGTATGTCTGTGTGTGGCTGTGTGAGTGTGTGCATTTCTTGAAACGTTTATATGTTTTTATTTCTGTGAAGTCGTTTTACATATCATGATAAGTTTAATTAGCACCTACCGTAAATAAGTAAGCACAAATTAAACATTAATGCCCGTTTTCATAATTTCTCCAAAACTTAAAAGGACCACCTTAAAAGAAATAAAGTGTCTAGTTCTGAGTTGCCAAAAGGATGGTAAAACAAATGAAAAATGATCAGAACTTTCAAAGAGTTCATCCTTTTGGCAACTCAAATGACATTTGAGAAATCCTTTGATATCTGATTAGTTAATTTCACGATGACCAGTGTTTCAGAAACAGGGCGCTAAAGTCCTAAGGTTAGATTTTAAGTGGTAGCTTAAAAATTAGGGCCGACCAAAAAATATGTTCGGCCTAACACTAAGTGTAGGTGCTTAGTAAGGGCTCGATGGTGAACTCCTCCGACCGGGTTCCCGCCTTGACGTGGCGGAGGGGTTTAGTAGCCGTGGCTTGGTCACCCACGGTGAAGCTAACAGGAACCCACACTGAGCCGGCCTGTGGTGTAAGGCCGGCCCGAGAGGGCCGCTCCGAGTGCGCTCAATGAGCCCACTCTGGATGCGTGCTGGAGTGTGCAGGAGACAGGTTGAGTGTGGTGGAGGAGGACCTACTCTTCCTGTATCCTGCCACCGAGAAGGAGTCGCGGGGGAAGAGGAGTGCCGGTATTGCGTTTAGCCGTTCTCCCTATCGTCCGTGACTCGGCGGAGAGCAGTGCCGTGGGCCGCGGGGGGGGGGAGAGGATTGCGTTTAGCCGTTCTCCCTATCCTCCGCGGCTGAAACGTGGTGAGCGGCGGAGCCACAGACCAGGTCCGCCACTGAGGGCTGGGAGGCTTGCTGGTTATTAGCACTGGCTCTCCTGGCTCCCATGGCTTCGGTCAGCGAACTCGGGGGAGTTCGTTGGCCGTGAAAATGGGGCCGAGTAGGAAGGCGCGCTGAATGTTCCAGTGCGCCTTACCTGGAGGAGAGGGCATTTGATCGCCGGGAGGGGGCTGTTGAGGCGGCTAGCGTTGGCAGGGTCGTGGAAGTGTGCGAAAGCGTTCCCGTGACCCTGCCGATATGCGCCTAGGTGGAACATCGTGGGGGTTTTAGTCGCTGCGAGTCCGACATAACCCGCTCTTGCCCCCGCGAGGGCGGGTTTGTGTAGGCATTTCCCGCACGTAAACAAAAAAAAAAGGCTCGATGGTGAAAACGGGTATAAGATTTGCATTAAAGTTATTTTAAAAAAGAAAATTACTAAGGTCGAGGTCTCTGAAATCGTTGAAAAGTTCTAGTAGTCGTTGAAAAGTTTTGTAGTTAGTATAGTTTGTCGGAAAGATAGCAAAAGGAGCAAGCTAAACTACTGGTTGAAACTGTGAAATATTTGAAACTTTGCATTTGGATTTTATGGCCCGGTATAGGGTACCTTTAGGCTAACCGATTGGCATTCTCCAACAGTCAACCCTTATCATAATTAATTAATAAAGCAATCATCGTAAAACACTCATGATTAATGATTTAATTTTAATTAATTCTTTCTGTACAACATAGTGCCGCATTTAATGTATGAAGATGATAAAAGTAGCCGATTAGGACGAAAGCCGACCAGTACATTTTCGGTTGCGTATTCGAACTTCAGAAAAGAATTAAAAAAAGAAAAGTAAAAGATTCTTTGGCTGCGTGAAGAGACGTTCATTTTCGGTTGCGTATTCGAACTTCAGAAAAGAATTAAAAAAAGAAAAGTAAAAGATTCTTTTGGCTGCGTGAAGAGACGTTCATTTTCGGTTGCGTATTCGAACTTCAGAAAAGAATTAAAAAAAGAAAAGTAAAAGATTCTTTTGGCTGCGTGAAGAGACGTACATTTTCGGTTGCGTATTCGAACTTCAGAAAAGAATTAAAAAAGAAAAGTAAAAGATTCTTTTGGCTGCGCGAAGAGACGCGATTCCTAGCGAAACAAGAATTCCGTTTGCGATCATAACGAGTCAACCGAGCCGGTTAAATTCGTCTTCTTTATTTTAGCAGGGAACGCAGTTTTGTTTTTGAAAAATGTGCCATGGAATTATAATTGGTCAGAATCCTACTAGTGGTTTTCTGCGTCACTAGGTTTGCATATACTTTATGCAATATAAACATTTTATAGGTAATCCTAAATATCGGTAACTAGCTGCTGTTATCATTAAGACAGAAAAACATATATACATAAAATATGTATATTAATTATAGCCTATGTCTTATTCTGATGTTATGCTATATTATTGTAAAGTTTCATTAAAATCCATTCAGTAGTATTTGCGTGAAAGAGTAACAAATATCCATCCATACATACAAACTTTCGCCTTTATAATATTAGTAAGGATTTCTTGTTTTTGTTTCATGAAAACACAAGGATTATGATAAAAAGTGATCAAAAAGAGATGTTCTTTTCCGCCGAGCTGTCGAAAAACTGTTTTTGGTCACAATAAACGCAGATGTTATTTGCGCTTGAGAAAGTTTTGTTTAGTTTTTGGGCGCAGTTTTAACTGCTCCCGTCTTCACGTTATTCGTTTCCAATTAATGTTTGTTAAAAAAAAATAACAAAAAAGAAAACTGACTTCAAATATCACTCACTGTACATTTTCTATTTGATTTTTTTATGTGGGAAGGTGATAAGAGAACTGGCATTTCATCTATGTTAAGTGATAACCGCCGCCCATGGACATTTCCAACACCCGTATGTTGCAGATGCGCTGCCACCTTTTAATAGGTTACCTCACTCACTAGACGAAACGCAGTAGTTTAACACTTCCACTCACGCCGGTCTGCTGTGAGGTGTGGTAATACCTCAGACGGACCTGCCTATTCGTGCAACAGCGAAGATTGTTGCGTGCCCCTTAAACTTAACACCTGGTCGTAGGGGATTTAAAAATAATTATAGCGTAAAATAACCAATAATCGGAAAAATGATAACGTAATACCAAATAGTAAATAAAAACAAAATCATTGTAATAAATAAAAATAAAGTAAATTATCTCGTACTGAAACTATTATTGAATTGTATTTTTCTCCAATTTATACTTAAGAACCCATATCGGGTCAAGGGCGGTTTGAAAGAATTAGCTACGGGCCCCGCGTTGCGTGCTGGTACCGGGAATTGAACATAGGTTGCTGGATTATACTAAATTACACTGAGCTATCGCGGATAATAAACTATACTCGCGGTTAAACCGTCGGTTTATCACATACGAATTATAACCCGCAGGAAATCGAATCCCAACTCTTTTATTTGCGTTCCCACGTATATCTTTAAACCGGTAGCATAAGTGTTGCGATATAAAATTCCCATCCAGAGCGACTTTGCTTTAAAATTAATGAAGCATCGAAAAGAGAACGAACGAACATTTCTTAACAAACAAAAAATTATCTGCTCGTTAATGCAGACTGAATAAAAAATAGATGCTTTGACATTTGTAATTTTCCAGGTCGTCGAGTTGTTTCGTAAAACACCTATAAATTAGCAACACAAAAGAAGCGAGGCTTTCTAAGCTAAGCTTTATTTTCAAAAAAACTAGTTCGTATCAACAGCAAGAATGTATCCTTTCCTATGTATTTATCAAGTGTGCAAGCGCCTTTTGTAATAATATTTACTAATTAGTAATTTAATTACAATGATTGTTGTTTGAAGGGCAAACCATTAATATACAAGTTTATATATTAATGATCACACTAAAGATTAAAATAGGAATCGCATGTTTTTTTGTTAATCGCATATGTTTTCACAATACGTTTGTTTATGTATTATTAATTTGTTTGTGTCTCCGTGACGATATTTTCGAAACTTGGTCTTGTGTTTCGCAAGTCACCGATTTAACTGGAAATACCCCCTGATTGGCAACCCCAAGGCGTATCTGCACTCGCGAGATGCTGGCCGGTCGCTAAATTATGTTATTACAGTGTTGTTTACATTGGTACAGCGCTGTCGTCTCGCGTAAGTGCTAAATAGCGGAACGGCAAAACATAACGATAATATTCGCTAAAAATATCCAATAGTATTATGTGCTGTTATTAGTGCCGTGTTAAATGAAATATCGCCTCCCTTTTTCTACGTGAAATAAATCGCCCCGTGCGTGCTTTCGAACTTTTGAAGTTTATGAACAGGAACGCTTCGCGAGAAAAGTGAGTAATTTAATTTTTAACAATAATGTTGTAAATAATTTCTTGTATTTACGCGATTACACATTATAAATGAAACTAATTTTACGGATTTATCGCGTTTCCGTAAAATTAGTTTCATTTATAATAATGTTACATTTATAGTAATGTTGTTTTTGAATTTTCGACTTCGGTTGTTTTATCATTTAAACGACTGTTATTTAGAATTTTATTTGTAATAAATCTTACATAAGTTTGTTTGCATTTGCGTTATAAAGTTTTAACATTATCTGTGGCAATCCTTCAGAGCTTTCCTTTATGGGTATCGTCCAATAATTTTTATAGGCTTTTTAATAATTCCATTTAGAACATTTTTTGTTATTAAATAGTCGCAATTATTATGTTCGATTTAGTTCCTCTTTGTGTCATTTAATCATTTCCATTTTTAAAAACTTTTTAAATCCTCTTACGTGATACTAAAACCTTTAAATAGATGATTTGATATTCAGAAGAATTAGCTTGATCGGCAGATATTTAACTTAATTATATAACTTAATCCTTGATTTTATTTGATCACGAAGAAAAAACGTATCTCGTGTGTGAGATACGAGAAATATAGCCAATTATGAATTCTTTTGGACAAGAAAATATAAAAAAAATATTCATATTTATTCATAAATATTCAAATTGTTATATATATAGCTTATATATCGGTAACTTGTTCACATTAAAACAGATCAACGTGATAATTTTGTGGTATCGTGTCTGTTTTCCTTTTCTGTCGTGTTTAATTTCCAGACGATTCCGGCGCGAGCTCATACAATGAAAACTCTGTTTTTGACAGATTTCAATGACAGTACATTTTATCCAATTGATCTTTGTAATGGCTGTACGCGATAGCGCAATTGCTTGTTCATGTTGATGAAATCTTATCCTTTAAACGAGCAATTCTTGTATATATATATATATATATATACATATAATCGGAATCTCGGAAACGGCTCCAGCGATTTTCATGAAATTTAGTATGTGCGTAGATTCGGGGGCGAAAAATCGAATTGACTAGGTTTCATTTTTAGAAAATGTCGTTTTATCCCAGTTTTCAGGGAATGAAAAATATTATTCGAATACGACGGAAAATTTCACCGAAAAAAAAAATGTTATAATAGCTCGGTCGGTAATCGGGCGGCCGCTAACAAACAGCCACGAAACAGAAGGCCGTGGTTCGTATCACGATCATTTACACACTTATTTTTTTACTTTTTTTTCGATTCCACATCATTGCTTTGTTTTTCTTTTATTTTTTGTCGATTTGTTATTTTTTTCCCTTTTTTTTAAAGTTCTTTCTTTTGTGAAAATCACCAGTTCATATTTTCTTATTATTACGTCGGTAAGATCGAAACATATTATGCATATTTCATTACTTAGTAATTTGTATCTAAATGTAATTTTCAAAATACACGATTTACCAAAAAAAAAAAACCGAGCAAAGCTCGGTCCTCCGGGTACTATTATGCATCTGTAATCGTTTTTGGCGGTAAACAGCCATGCTGTTATTTAACCGAAATAGTCAGGGTCAGATTAAGAGGTCTGGAGGCCTCAAAGGGGCAACAAAGTAGTGGAGGCCCCTTGGCCCAAATTATTTTCTTTTGCTTTCTGTTAATATTTGTACAATGTACTGTAGGTAAGGGTAAAACGCGAAAAGATTATGAAAGGAAAAGTTGTTTACTGGTGTTTACTAGTCTGAACTTGATTTTTTTTTCCCAAAGTCGCTATTGTAGCGGCCCCTCTTTTGTGGTGGCCCCGGGGCTGTAGGCTCGGTTGCCCTCCCCTAAATCCGGCCATGTGTTTTATTTCACTAGGTCGATGTGTAGGTAGTTAGTCGGGTCGGGCTGTGACAGGGACTAAGAGGACGTATTGAGGGGGCGTTTTTAGTTCACTGCACTACTTCTACTAGTCTTTCAGAATATGTTGTTTGGCATCTTGGTAGAGGCAAAAATGATGGGGCTGAAAATCCAATCGCTTCAGAGTTGTTGGGGAAGACCGTAGACGAACCCGTCCAATATACTTACCATGGAGTTAAGGATATTGTCGGGAGGAGAGGATCTTGTTTAATTTTGAAAACTGATTAATATTATATTTCGGGTGCTATGCTTCGCGCCTACTTCAAATTATCATTGTTTGTGTTGGGGTGTAAAAAATAAATGTTTAAATATAATAAAAAAAATAATACTTCGCTTTCACGCAGGAGGGACTTAAAAATAAGCTTATCAACGACTCTGAACGGTTTTATGGACCGCTGATAAATTCCAGTTCTGCAGCTGAAGGGTTTCTAATAAATATAATAATGTCTATGACCCCGTACGGATTTAAGTGGCCAACCTGCTTCCAAATACTAATGCATTAATTATATGTGCTTTGGATAGTTTGCGTAGAGGCTAACATATTGACGGATAAATAACGTTGTTTTCGGTTTTGGTGAATTCATACAGTAATGCAATTTTTTTGTAAGTATATGGCAAGCGAGCCACCGGTTAACCAGATGTTAAGTGACCGGATTGGCGTAGTGGGTAGTGAGCCAGCCTCTTGCGCCAGAGGGTGCGGGTTCGATCCCCACTACTGGAAAAATATTGTGTGATAAACATAGTGCTTTTCCAGTGTCTGGTTGTGAATATATGTATAATATGTATTTATTTCCATAAGAAAAGTATGTTTATCACTTATCTAGTACCCATAGTACAAGCGTGGCTTAGTTTGGGACTAGAGAACGTTGTGTAAAAATGTGTCCTAAAATGTTTATTTAATGCCCTAAACGGATATTATATAGGATTCCCCTGCATATGGATATTTGAAACACCAGTAGTGTTGCAGATTTGGCACCTTTTAATAAAGCTGGCCAGTGTTACCTCACGTTACCAACGCAAACCAATTGAACCTCTATATTCAATCAAACTAGAGTCAATCAGGTCATTTATAACAGGCTCCCATTGCCTCGACTCCGTATGACTCCACAATGACTACGTGGCGCAGTTGCCAAGCTATCGGCTCCGGTGCCGGGGACCACGGGTTCGAATCTCACACGAGACAACTATTTGTGTGACCCACATAATTAAATACCCACGCAACCATGGCTTGATTCGTACTTGCAGTTATACTTCTTTTAGTGCATTTGAAAATATTATAATAAATTTTTAGGACGCACGCGCAAACCGACAATGGCATGAGTATGATGATTGTTGGTTGCAAAGCGAACAACGTCGACCGACTTCATGGTATTATCGTGGCAACCAATAACAACTTTCTCCAAGTAATTTTGCAACAAGGCTATCGCTATAGCATAACCGTAACAACCGTCTCTTTCATGTGAAAAGTGGCAAACGGGCTGGCGGTTCACCTGATGGCAAGTGATAACCGCACGGACATTTGCAACACCGGTAGGGTTGCAAATGCTATACCACCCTTAAATAAAGCGGCTTAAGGTTTTTCGTGGCCCTCACCGGACTAAACGCAGAAGTGTAACAGTTCTACTTTACGCCGGTCTTCTGTGAGGTCGTGGTACTTACCAGGATGGACCTGCCCATTCATGCAACAGTGAACACTGTTGCGTGGCGTTACCTATACTCTAGAGCAGGATAGCTCGTATACGCTTCATTCCGCAGACGTCGATAGTTTGAGTTGAAATTCTCGATAAAAACAGTCTCCTTTAAAATGTGTAGTGTTCATGCGAGGAACTAGAATAAACTTGTTGCCGTTGCTATCTTAAATATTTTTTTACGTACAACTGTCGAGTTTCTTGCCGGTCTCGGGCGACAGAAACTGCTTTCCGAGCCGGTGGTAACTTACTTACGAACTTATGTATCAGTTTTTATGTAAACTTGCCGTTTCATAAGAACGCGCGAGCGTCTATTTGATTGAAGACATTTTGAATTTATATCTCGTTCTTTGCTGCCATCTCATTCAGTCTTGCCTTGAGGGCTCACATTATACTCGGACGGAAATATAGGGGCCGTTGACAACCGAAATTTGGAGTTAATTTTAAGTGCTGACTTATCACGTCCTCGGTGGTGAGGGAAAACATCGTGAGGAAACCTGCATATTTTCGAAATAATAACAAAAAAACATATTTCGATGATACGTGAAGTACGCCAATCCACAGTGGGGCGCGTGGTGGACTACGCCCTGATACCATCTTTACAGAGGAGGCCTTCGCCCAGCAGTGGGACATTTATAGGCTGTTACTTTACTTTTCTTTTACAGTCATTTCAAAAGAGGACATTGATGGACATTAATTCAATTTTTCAATAAGAAAACATTATGACAATGGATCACCAGCACCCGAAGACACCAAACGACAATAGTTGATTTGAGCCGATTAATCATAATAAGCTATGGCGGCTAAACCTGTAGTCGCTAGGCTCGGTATGCTAATAAGATGATTTTCAACGATTAAAACCGCAGTCGTAAACAGCTAAATGGCAGCTGGATTTTTTCCACGACGTTCTTTACCACCCAATGCCACATCGCCACACCATAAGCTGCGTCGGCCGCGCGACAACCTGTTCGTAAAAAAAAACAATTGCCGCCATATTTTACCCGCGACGGAATAACCAAGATGGCGGTTATTTATAGAACTGGAGGCATTTCGTCCTTGAATCAAAAGGACTTAATCTCGATTAACAATTATACGAGCGTCGGATAATTTCTCTCCGTGCACAAAATATTGTAATTTACAATTAAAATAAAATGATAATGGCTACATTGTTATAAAACTGGGTCGTAGCTGTATAAACCTTCCACTGCAAAGGGAACAATTCAATGAAATGAAAGTTTGGAATATTTTAGAAAGAGACGTATTGCACGTATATTAATTTCCAATTTATCCAAAAGCAAGTCAATGAACTGTTCATATTTAGGTAAATAGCGTTATGTTAGCGTTTGTTTCTTACCTTGATTAATTGAAATCTCGTTTTCAAAAGGAAATCTATGTATTTTAAGGACTTTTAACACTTTTATTTTTGACATTTCGACCACTTCTCGTACGGATTTCCTTTAATTCGTATTTTATTTAGTAATTAAAAAAAAAGTAAAATTTAGTAGCTGACGTGATTACTGGGTTACGACCGTTAGAAAGTGGTCTGATGTCACAGAATGTGATCTGACAGCTCACAAAAGTGGGAAGCTGAGGCAGCAATGGACTAGGCCATATAGCTCGTGGAACTGATAACTGGTGAGGAGGAAAGATTCTCTAGTGGCAGCCTTCTAAAGGTCATCGCAGACAACCACCCACCAGATGGAGTGACCTTTGATTATATACTTGTCATTATCAAAGGTAGTGGCGGCCTAAGCAAATGTGCGGGAAGTCGATGGATGCAGTCGATGGACGGCCTAAGCAGTCTGTGGGGGAGGCCTATATCCAGCAGTGGACTCAAACAGGCTGAAATTACTATGACGATAATAATGTACTTATGTGATCATTTCTTAGCCATAAATGGGATCGAAGACAAGTAGTTGAAAACTATCCGGAATACAGTTCCATTTGACGTATCGTGTCTTATTACGTAAGTATATGTGACCTTCGTAATTTAACTTTAGGCTGATTATTCCCTTAATTAAACCAGTCGAGCCCAAACTCGTTATCGCGTGCCATTTTAATGCCCGAAACTCTGAAACCCCGACCTTCGCAAGACGAGCTGAAAACACCATCTATTTATGTATAAATAAAATGGTAGAGGTCTGTCCGTATTGCGCGCATCACGGCAAAACTGCTGGATAGATCTGAAGTAAAAAGAAATATATTCTTATACATATTTTTTTTATGTCATAAAGTTGCAAGCGAACTGGCCGTTCACCCATGCACATTCGCAACACCGTAATGTGGGTTCTACTTCACGCCGGTCTTTTGTGTGGTCGTGGTGAGTACCACGACCTTACAAAAGACCCAGGACGGACCGGCCAATACTGCACGTACACAGTTCAATTATTTTAACTAGTTTCGACAACGATTTGTTTTCTTCTCGTTCTATATAAATTACATTCAATGATGGAGGTCTGTCATTGTGCGCGTATTACATAAAACTTGCTGGATAGATTAACTCTTGCAAGTTTTACTTCCTAAACACTTATCTAAAGAAATATTTTTATTTCACGTAGAGTTTTTAAAGTTTTACGAAATGACGTGTTCAGTGATGCCGTGCTAGATAATATGAATTGTTAATTTAATAAGCACAGACAAACGCAGACAAAGTCACGGGTATAATCAGTATAGTATTGTAGTGTATAAAACCGGTCGTCGCTTGTAAGCTCGCCAGACTTTCACTTGCACTTGACCGTTATATTAAAAGCCTTCGTGGGTTTTGCATTTAATTTTATAATATATTCACAAAGACCTGTTATTACTTTTTAATACGTTACTTATTTGGTGAATTATAGATTTGATTTCTTTCTTTTTCCTTCAGTCATTCTTGAATGCAACTTTATATATGACCTAATACTTGCCCCAGCTTTGCCCATCGGCAATTCCAAGGGTGATATAATTATAGCAGAGGTCGGTTAAGGTGAACCACTTTTCTCGTATTTGATGTACATAACATTAATTAGACCCTATACTTTTCTTATATAGATACCTCCTAAATTATACTATCCTAGATTATACCTCCTAAAACAAACAGATATTGTTCTCTAAATCCAAATCGACGATTTCAAGTTGAAATGATCCCAATTCTCGGATTTAAACCCGATTTAAAATATATAATAAACGAGATATTATATTTCTTCTACTTTATTTAGAAATCCATATATTCATTTAAATTATGACAGTTATAACACCGCGTATCTAACATTATAAATTCATTACGTATTTCGTTTTCGCATAAAATTAATCCTTAGTAAATTTGTTGCCAGGGCGATATTTTACTAAATTTTACAACTGACTTCATTTCATCTATAATAATAATACAGAAGTTAATACTTGTCTCTGGTACTACTGAATCAAAGCAAACTCAATATTGCATTTTATTATAATATGTAAATTTATGTTAAATCAAGTTCATTTCCAAATTAATTCGGCATTCGGCCTCCTATTTGACATCAACCCTTCTCCTCAACCAACACCCAAATCCGGACGTATCATCTGTGGGTCTAACCAATACTTGTCTCGTGTGGGAGTAGAACCCACGACCCACGGCTCCGAAGCCGGAAGTTTGGCACTGGGGGCTTGTGGCACCGCCTAGCTCACTGCACCCTCGAGTCACTATAGATGGCATTGATAACTCAATTTTTTTCAATTGTTTTCAACTATACCTAAGGGTCTTAATTGGGGAAGAAAAGTTCTCGAGTGGCAGCCTCGTACTGGCCATCGCAGTGTGGGACCCCCCACTAGATGGAGTGACGACCTGTGCAAATGTGCGGGAAGTCGATGGATGCAGGTGGCTCAGGATCGTACTTCGTGGCAGCCTTGGGGAGGGGAGGCCTATGTTCAGCAGTGGACCTAAACAGGCCGAAATGATGATGACGATGTGTCCAGGTGCTCGACTTTAATTCAATATACTCGAGCAACCTGACATCAATTTCCGATGCCGGCCCCAATTATAACTACAATTTTAACACACTGACTTATCAAGCTTGTCGGTGAGGAACATCGTGAGGAAACCATATTTTCTAGCAAAACATATGTATATTTAGAAGATATGTGAATTCGGCCAATGAGAGTGTGGACTATGCCCGAATGACCTCTGTACAAAGGAGGCATTTGTCCAGCAGTTGGAGATATATAGGGTACCTATACATCTCCAACTGCTGGACCTATTTGTCACGCCCAGATCCGGAACAAGGATCTGCTGTACTCAGAAATCCCTGTCCGTTTGAGATTCGAACGTGCGACCCACGGCGCTGGACGCAATAGCTAAATATTTGTGCCACAGAGTGCTATTTAAAAATAACTGTTGAAACCGTTTCACGGATAAAGATCTAATATCCATACAAAGCCTGATTCTTTTACCACAAAAATAAATACACAATCGGTTCTCGGAATAAATCAACATTAACATATTCCTACCGCTGTGGCTTACGTAATTATTGTGATCTCCAACGGCTTTGAATAAATAAAATAAATCATCACAAGAATGTTATCCAACTGATTCCTTATCGATGGAACTGTTTTTATTGGGATTTTATTGGCTTGACCTATATACATACATATTTATGTATGTAGATATATTTTTATTTTATTTTATTCCGTACACAAAACAGCAAACAATAATATACACATCACAATAAAGTTAAATAAGGTAAACAATTACACACTGTCAGCCAAAACTACTATCTTTCTTTCTTTCATGGCAACAATGTTTTCAACTTAATTTACAATAGAAAAAACAAACACACTAAAAAAGTATAAGTAAAAACTGCTAAAAACAAAATTAAAAAAAAAACTATAAAAAGAAGAAAGGAAAAAACACATTATGGGCATGTGATAATTTGTTTGAATGTACTCAGTTTCTGTTAGAAAATATCAATGGAATGAATGCTTATTTGATTGATATATGCCGTTTGATTAGGTTTATACCTCCATAACTGTTTACGGTGACCAGAATGTCAGATATAACAACGAGTAGATGTCTCGTCTCAAGTGATTGTTGTCTCCGTGGGGCAGTTGCCAGGATATTCGCTTCGCCACTGGGGGTCGTTGGTTCGATTCCCACACGAGACAACTATAGTGTGAACCACTGATAATTGCCTCGGACATGGGTGTTTGTCCACGCATGTATGTAGAACGTCCTTACCATACAAACGATGATGTTATTTTACAGTATGGGAATAAAAATTAGTCATGGGATTGCAGACGCGTTGCCAACATTTAAAATGTGCGGTATAAAGTAAGCATACTTTTCACCAGACGAAACACGAAAGCTCTCACAACAGGCTATTCACCTGATGTCAAGTGATAACTGCTGGCCAAGGGCATTTGCCACACCCGTAGTTTCAGAACGTTGCCATCTTTTAATAAAGTGAGCCCCGTCTACCTAACTCACCAGACGCAGAAGTACTACACTTCCACCTCGTCGTCTCTGTTAGTGGTACTTCCCGGGCGGATCTGCCCATCCGTGCAACAGCCGTGGCTACTGCGCCCTGCCAGGCTTGCGTGGCCCTGCCACAAGTATATAAAACACTTCTATTTAGCGTCTTCTGTAAGTCTGTACTTCCAAGACTGCCCATTCGTGCAACATCAGCCACTCGGCCATACCAGTTGCAAGTTGCATGCATTTTTTTTTCGTTTTTTTATCTGAAAAGTTGCCAAGTGAGCAGACGGTTAACCTGATGTAAAGTGAATACATCAATAATGGCATCTGCTACCCCCGAGGGTACCAGATACGTTGACAATATTTTGAAAATTGGGCTCTGGCCACCTCACTCACCAGACGAAACGCGAAAGTATTATACTTCCACTTTACTTCTACGAGGTCTTGGTACTTACCCGGACGAGCCTGCCCATTCGTTCATCAGCCGCTGCTGCGTAGCCCTATCACCGTAAAAAGGCCGAGTGCATGCCACAGCCGTCTCCACCTGCATACCGAAGGACTGACCCGTTGCAGATCATGCAAGCCCTGGAGGAGCTGGCGGTCCAGCTGTTCGACGCGGGCGCTGTACGCCTGGGCGATATAGAAGCGAAGGTCGGCCGCCGAACGCCGATATACTTCGACCTGAGGGTCGTCGTGTCCCACCCCAGGCTTATGGTAAATACAATCCGTGCTTCGTTGCTATTTTTCTTATTTTTACCGACTTTTTTTTTAATGTGAAAGCTGCCAAACGAGCAGACGGACATCTGCCACACCCGAGGGTCACAGATGCGTTGACAACCTTTTGAAAATTGGGCTCCAGCCACCTCACTCACCAGACGAAACGCGAAAGTATTTGTCATACTTCCACTTTACGCTGGTCTTCTGTGAGGTCGTGGTACTTACCCGCACGGGCCTGCCCATTCGTGCAACAGCCGAGGCTGCTGCGTGGCCCTACCACACTTATTGCTATAACGCCCGAGCATGGAGCGTCATCAAATCAATAAAACCGTAGCTCAACGATAATTACAACGCATTAACTCTCGCCGAGCAAAGGGCGCGGGTCAATAGAGTAATTATTTTATTACATACTAATTCTGCACCGCGACTTCGCTCATTACACTTCCGTAGTATTTATCACCTCTAATTCTGCTGTTTTTCGGCATCGACCGACAACTTGTTTTTGTCATTTAACGGAAGGTGATTTGTGTTGTTTTTCGGTTTTGTAAATTCTAAAGATACGTTAATACTATTATAACGTATACGGTTTCTAACAGTAACTAGTTTACTTAATTAAAATTATTTCATTTGAATACATTATCTTAGTAGTTAGCTTTTTTATGACGTCGAAAAACGGTTTGATAGAACCTCACTACGAATAAAAAAAATTGATTTGATTTGACCTTCAAAAGATACCCTATCTGCGGGGGGTTACCCTATCTATGGAGGGTTGTGTTGAGCCTTGCTCACGGGTTTAATCAACATCAAGTGAGTCGTCTGACCGCTTGACAACTTTTCACATGAAAAAAAAATATTTTTTTATGTCAGAAGGTGGCGTACGAACTGGTGGTTCACCTGTTGTTAAGTGAGAACCGTCGCCCTTTGAAATTTACAGATGCGTTGCCACCTTTTAATGAAGTGGGCCCCAGCTGAGGTCAGGACCTGCCCCGAATGGGCAGATGACTCTCTCGTGGCCCTACCACAGTCAACCTTTACTCCGAACATAAGCATGCTCCTGGGAATGATTACCGTTCCCCGTTCTTTCGCTTTTTCGCGGTAATAGGAGACCACTGTGCCATCCTGTTAAGAAGACGATCAATGACTGGGTCATGTTTGGGTCAAGGAGTACAGGTCCATGTTTCAGATACTACCTACTTGACGTGTATGGTTCCTTGCATTGCTCCTTGGTTCGTCTTGTAAAGTTATGTGTTATATAAACCTATCTAAACAATCATAGTGTCCAATATTAGAAGAATTTCTCAAGCCGGAATGTTTTTTTTTTTTTGTGAAAGACGCGTTCAACCACACAAACGTTTTAGATTTCTCGTTGTGAAGTAATAATGAATCGAATGCGGGTTCAATTGATTCATCTGACGACCGATAAATATAAATATGATATCAATTATACACATTACATTACTCATATCTTTTACGATAACGGCTATCTTATAGAGGCATAGTCAAAGTGAAAATTCCTTTATGCATACTCATTATTACGAACGGGCATGTTCAAGATCGGGCTTCCACATGCCAAGATGTCCTATTTTTAAGGTTTAAAGCTGTAATTCGCAAAGGATTTAGTGCTAAGTGAAATATCTGAATGAGGCAGTTATGTTTACATTGAAATTTAGGCTTGTTTCTAAATAGCGAGGTCAAATCTACCGACGGTTCACTTATTTAAACTATTTAACAAGAAACTTCAGCTGCACAGAAAAATAAATCGTAAAATAAAATAGGTACACTAACGCCCGGTTTCTGAAACACTGATCAACGTAGATGTCAACTAATCAGTTGTCAAATGAATTTCAAATTTCATTTTATTTGCCAAAAGGATGTTTAAACTCTTTGAATTATTCATTCTGATCATAAAGAAGATCATTCTGGTCAATTCAGAGAGTTTAACCATCTTTTTGGTACCTAAATTGTAATTTGAGATACATTTGACAGCCGATTAGTTGACATCTACGATGATCTGTGTTTCAGAAACCGGGCGTTAGCTGCCAAAAATCGTTAGATTAGGAGTCAGGACTAAACAGATGAATGGAGAAAGATCTGTAAATGCTGAAGAGCGTTGAATAATAACAAACTAAACAAAATTGATTTCCAAATTTTTGGTATTTTTACGATGAATTTTAACTTTAGCAGCTTCCTAACGTTCATTTTACTAAGCACCACATGTTCAGTGAGAGACATCAGCCAGCAATAAATAATGAAACAGGAATATTTTATAATAATAGTGACAATTAAAATTGCAGATGGCGATATCCGAACAGCTGACGCGTCTAGCCGCCGACATCCCGCACGATTTACTCTGCGGTGTGCCGTACGCGGCGCTGCCTTTCGCCGCGGTGATGTCCGTCAACTCGAACACCCCCATGATAATGAAGAGGAAGGAGACCAAGTTGTACGCCACCAAGAAGATACTGGAGGGCGTGTATGAAGCGGGCCAGAAATGCTTAGTAGTCGAGGACGTAGTGACATCTGGCGGCAGCCTGCTCGAAACCGTTGCTACGCTCCGCGGCGAACAACTGCGCGTCTCGCACGCCGTCGTAGTTCTGGATAGGGAGCAAGGTGGCGCCAGTGTGCTCGCCGCCGACGGCGTCGAGGTGAAGTCGGTTTACACGATGACGGCTCTGGTGCGAGTGTTGCAAGAGTGCGGCAGGATAAGCGACGAGACGGCCGAGATTGTTTCCGACCACATCAAGGAGTGCCGTTTCGCCTAAGCCGAAAGGACAATGGCCGATTTACAAGTCTAAAGTAGTTGACTAAATACTTAGCTAAAATTTAACTCAATCCATGCGTGTAAAGTTTGTTTTCGAATCGGAACAAAATTCTTTATTTGCCAGTAAATAGGGACAGAATATGTATTTCGTTCTTCGTGTCGTTACAATATGGCGAACCTATTTGCCCTATTTAGCCGTTTTCAACGTGCAAATATTAAAAAAACATACAATTCTTAATTATTTCTTTACGAATAACTAAACACGTCGTCATACAATCTTTATGATTTTTAATTTAAAAAAAAAAACATTTAGCCAGTATTATCGGTCCGTTTCAATGTTCTATCACCACTAGATTTGGTTACTGGAGATAGAATATTGACGTTAGTATTATGGGGTAGTCAAATACCTATTGCTAAATCAACAAATACATCGAATATTGAAACCGGCCGTTATTAAGTAACAAGTTAAGTAAGTTGCAAGTAGAAATTTTATGTGCATTTAAAGAAGTAAAATGGTATATTTTCTATTGGCCCGTCATGTTGGAGGGCGCGACTATCGCTTAACGCATTTAAACAAGTAGAATTTAGTTGGTACATTGCCCAGTTGATGTGTTAGGGATTTTCTGCTTCACTGGACATTTCTTCATTTTGTTCGTTAGCTTCGCTAGACAAATTAAAGATCTTGACGTAACAGTTTTTTCAATATTAAGACACTTAAACTTTAGCTAAAAAGTTAGCTGATGACTACTTAATAGGTGTAAATCGGGCATAAAGAGAGGGTTGCGGATGTATCGATGGCTCCTAAGTAGACTATCGTACGTTGAAAAACAGCAGCTGTGTAAGAGAGCAGCATAAAGATATTTTATTTCGTATTTATGATAATTTCAAAGTTTTTGATTTAAAAAAAAATACATTTATAGTAACGTATATGGTAACATTGTATAAGCTTTAACTATATCAGAAATATGAAATAAAATATCTTAAACTGCTCTCCCATAAAGTACATTTTCAAAAGATTTCCTTACATCGCTCGGTGACGTACTTATTTTTTTCTATCGATGACGAGTGAGGAAATGATGGCTTGCGAGTAAAAATTTTCTATCCTATACGACTTATTATTTTATAGTTGGTAATGTGAGATGGTATTATCGGTCTTATAATTAAAAAGGTATTATAATTAAAATCATATAGCTTTGCGAGTCGTTTTATTTCACTGCACCTATAACATCTCTCATGTGATTCTTCAACCATACATTTAGCCTTTTAGTTTATTTGTCGCAGTAATTTTTCTCCAAAGTCTTAATTTTGTAATGGCAATGAACTAGGGAAGTTTTTTTATAAGACAGATAACGAATTGAAACGGAGAAAAAAAATGGCGGTATAGGTATTAGAAAATTTGAACTGTTGATGAATTGTCTGTATGGAGAAATCCAAAGACGTTAAACTCTGATACAAATAATAAAACCAAATATTCCACATTTCATCTTCTTTGTTATTTGATCTAAATTGAACAATGTAATCAACGAGGTAAATTCATTTAGTGAATTATTTGCCCTTAAAGCCCAGCTAATACGGTAAATTTGAAAGAATAAACTCTGCTTTTCTTAATGATTTAAAACAAGACGTGCGTAATTTTCAAACGTTACTGTGATCAGTCACTAATGGTTTCAGTATATGTCTTATCTATGCTAACTAAATGGTTATAAAAATGTGTCCATTATCTATATAAGTAGGAAAGGTATCTTATTTTGAATTGCAGTCTAGTATGTCGTTCATTTCAACAAATTGTCAATAGAGGGCACTTTCTATCACTATCGTACATTCTTTATAGATAATTTGAGAAATATAAATTTTATAGAGATTGATATCTACTTATATCTATACATTTAAATAATATTGGAATATCTGTCTGTAATGACAAAATAACCTCCTTTTACTTATTGCTTAAGAATTTTTACATACCAAAAAAACAATCTATTTTTTTGTGTCTGTAACTGGAGCAAGTTAAGGTTGTTTTGGCACCAATACAGTTTAGGGCCCGCACAAAAATAAAATAGAAACTAATTTTTCTTCTTAAGAATTATATGTGTATTATTTGTCATTTAAAAATAATTCTCTCATTGAGAGTTAAGGTCAACAAAAATCGTGTAAACACTAAGAAAATGTTTGCGCGCATAAAATTGTCGTGAATTATTTTAGCTAAACGCGGATTTTACGTGGACGAACTCGCTTGTAACAGCTGGTTATCAAATAATTATTAAAAAAGAATCTAATACATGTTTTTACACAAGTTATTTTAATTTTTGTAAGAATCCTTTCCACAAATGCAATCGGACACTATTTGTCAATGTAAAGTTCCTCGCATTCCTCCAACCGCTATACGATTATAAAGTATTATTAAAATCGCATAAACATTTCAATGAGACGGTGAGATTATGCAGATAGAGATTCTAGTATCTATTGCATTTTAAAATTATACTCCACGGGTAAATATATATTTACTGTGAATATGTATCTTATTACTGATTGAACTTTCACGACGCAAATACGTCAGAGGACTGGACAAATACGATAAAAGTGAAGGAATATTATATAATGCCATAAAAATTTAATAAAATGCAAGAGCCGTGCTACCTCAGTGTCCGGACACTCTCTTTCGAGTTCAAAACCCGTTGCCGGGACCATTGAAATTTTCAATATTTACTGACTTATCATGTGCTTAGTGGTGTAAGAAAACATCGTGATGAAACCTGCATATTTTTGAAAATCGGCGAGAAAATATATTTCTAAGACTGTCTGCCCTAAAGATCCTAGATACCTGCCCATAAAATCCAAAAAAAATTCGAGCTCTATATGTGACGTCTGTCTGTTGCGTGGTGGACTAGGGTTGCTGAAAAAATATTGAAATATTGATATTTTTTTATTCAATTTCGGCATCCCTATGGTGGACTATGTCTATGCCCTATATTATAAGCCATACATATTATGTAAGCCCTGTACTATATTATGGGACATGCAGCATACATTACTTTGACTTAAAAGACACGTTGGATATAAATTATGGTATAATCGTGCACTTGTACTGCATTAAATTTTAGTCGACTTAATTTTCACTTTGATATGAACTTGAAAAAATTTACTTAAACTTAATACAAATGAATTTATTCGGAGGCGGGGTCAACGGCCTCATACTTTTTAAATGCTGATGTACTAAGAACTGAGATAATCCACGCCTTTTTAAATAGAAAGTGAACTATTGTGAGCTCATTTTAGTTTATGAACATTCTTAAGCCCTTGTGTTCCTCGTATCAAGCGGGTTTTATATTTAAATATTAAATCCGCTTAAATAACTGTGGAGAACATATTTATTTGAATCACATTAAACCTAAAATGTAAAAATTTTTTTACAAAAACTAAACTTAGCTTGTAACAAATTTATAAAGCGTTTGGGTCGTCCATGGAAATATTGTTCAATTAGGGCGATTTTCGTCGGTGTGACAATCAGCCGTTTAGCTTAGTGGTTAAAACGTCTGGGCGCGAATCCCGAAGACTTGGGTTCGACTCCCGCAGCGGCGAAAAGCTTTTCGTCCTCCTTTGTCATTGAAACGTTAGCAACTTAACTGCCACTCCATGGATGGCCTGTATATCAGTCTCTAGTCTGCCAGCTTTTCTTATAGATAAAAATCAAACTTTAATTTAGCCTGACAAAAGTCAAAGACCACATTTTGCTGTGCTAGGGCCACGCAGGTTCGAGGTCACTTAAAATTGACAATTTCACTGATACCGACACCGGATATTCAACTCGGGTTGCTCGAGTATATTGAATTAAAGGCGAGCGCCTAGAAAATGAACTAAAATGGCTCTAATATTATAATTTTAGTATTTTTTGACAATATTTCAGAGTTTAACTGTTTTACATTACCCAAAAGGCTTCGTGCCCCGTCAAAATGGGGATACACCGAATCTCGGTACAACCATTTGTGTACCACACAATCGCTTCCCTTCACGCGGGATTCGAACCACCAGCCGGTTGTGGCGGAGCACTTAGCTGCTGCGCCATCCGTGCGGTCGTTATTAAAAGAGTCCACTAAACCTTTTCCAAGTGGCGTAGTGCCAAGAATGCCAGCTGCATTTTCTAACTGGATGGTTATTCTTAACCTTTGCGCGTGAAAGTGTTCGGATCTGGCTTATCACCAGTGCACGGAACAAGCCGGCATGCGTTCGAAGATTGTCGGAAATCGATCTTTTTAGGGCTCCGTACCCAAGGGGTAAAACAGGACAAGGTAAGAACCATTCACCGATGATGTATTTCTTTTTGCGTTATAATAACAAATACTAAAAAAATATTTAAGTGGGGCTTCCATACAGCAGACAAATTTTACGGTGGTAGGGCCACGCTGCAGCCTCGGCTGTTGCATGAATTGGGAGGCCCGTTCGGGTAAGTACCACGACCACACAGAAGAACAGCGTAAAGTGGAAGTATGACAAATACTTTCGCGTTTCGTCTGGTGAGTGAGGTAGCCGGAGCCTGATTTTGCTCCCGTACAGCAGACTACTTTACGGTGGTAGGGCCACGCAGCAGCCTCGGCTGTTGCATGAATTGGGAGGCCCATCCGGGTAAGTACCACGACCACACAGAAGAACAGCGTAAAGTGGAAGTATGACAAATACTTTCGCGTTTCGTCTGGTGAGTGAGGTAGCCGGAGCCCAATTTTCAAAAGGTTGTCAACGCATCTATAACTTCGGGTGTAGCAGATGCCCATGGGCGGCGGTATTCACTTAACATCAGGTAAACCGTCTGCTCGTTTGGCAACTTTTGACATAAAAAAAAGATAGCCGTTTTTATAGATACGGAACCCATCGTGCGCGAGTCCGGCTCGGACTTGGCAGATTTTTTTATATTAAAAACTGGCTAGGCAGTAAGTGATTCACCTGATGTTAAGTGATTATCGCTGTCCATGGACATCGTCAACGCCTGACGAGCTGTAGATACTTTGCCAACAGTAAAAAGTAGGTCTCGCTTATCTCACTCACCACACGAAACGAGAAAGACTTCACTCCGGTCTACTTCACCGGACGAGCTTGCCCATTCGTGCAACAGCCGAAGCTGCTGCTTGGAACATCCACTGAAAAATGCAATCATCACGAAAGGCCAAACTCGTCTGAGAGGGTACCACGGTCTCACAGAAGATCAACGTGAAGTGGATGTGGTTTTTGCGTCTGGCGAGTGAGGTTACCCATAGCTTTGAAGTTTGGCAGCGCATCTGCATCCCCACAGGTTTTGTAGATGTTCATGAGTGACGGTAATCAATTAACATCAGGTCAACAGCTTGCCAACTTATCACGTACAACAAAATTAAAAAAGGGTCAGTTGTGTATGGTCGGAGCAATACACAGCGAAACTCTGTGATCTTTCTACAATACTACCAAGTTATTTATAGGCAGTGATGTACTTTAGGTTGATACATGATGTACTTGGAATGTTTTAAGATCCAAACCATGGATGCTCGTAGCACCAATGAGTCTAGTTTTATTCAGATGTCTGACAAGTGTGTGTCCTAAAACAATTTCTATAAAATTCTCTATATCCGTATTACCACATAACGGCAAAAGGAAATTACAGCTTCCATATTTATTAATAATAAAAACACCACAAAGCTCCAAAGAATGTTTTCTTTATGATGCAAATTTTGTATGAAATAATACATTTTTGTAGGAAAAATTAATTATTTCCTCAAAATTGTGAAAGGGCGCTGAAACGTTGCCGGTTGGATACTGATTCCGTTAGTGCAAACCTTTTCGAGTTTATAGCGCAAGACTAGTGGTTTGTAATCAAGTAAAGTACTCTGCTTAATTTGTCCGACACTCCCGTAATCGCCCACGCCAAAGGACTGCAGATGGTGATCTGAATAAATTAAAAAGGGCCTGAAAACCGTTACCTCGGTCCCGTTACTCGTGTACGAGCTTGTACCTACATTGTAAGCGTAAACATTCGTATATCGTCGAAACGAATCGATAGTCCGACATCATAGACAATGGAGCGACCTCCGTACATTATTTCTTTCGAAATTAACATCTTTAAAATTAATATCAGAAAAGAAATTTAATACAGCATCACTTATTTTGTTCATAGCGACGAAAAACTGAATACGTTGTTTAAATTCTGCAGATTTAATTTAAAAAACACATGAATTAACTGAAGTCACAATGGAGAGTCGCGGCCGATTGGGCAGCAAGGTTCTACTAGAGTATAGACCACGTGACAGAAAGCGCAGCGTGGGGTGGCCATCAGCAAGATGGGCTGATGACCTAAGGTCGGGGACTTGGCTGAATGCAGGCCGCTTCTGCCCGCTCAAAGTGGAAATCCCTAGAGGAATCCTACATTTAGCAGTCGCCTACAGGCTGAAAACATCAATCGTTTGGAAGTCTTAGTCCTTATAGTCTAGGGATAGCAATACAAAATTCAGACGATAAAATATGATCAATAAAATAAAATAAAATAAAATAATCTTGATTTTTATACCTAAAAATTTTTATATGCCGTTAATATTTCCCGCCCAATAACATTGCCTGGTAATCTTCGTTTTAATTTCCTTCCTTTGTTAGAAGTAAAGAATCATAAAAAATGCATAACATTTGTTTATATATTTTAGATATGGCAATATCTGGACTAGATTTTTGTCTGATCAAAATTGAATTTTCATTTTTTTCTATTGGTTTCTAGAAGGTATCCGAATATTATAGCAATGGCGAATTAATCTAAATGTTAACATGGCATAAAGATAGAGCATTTAATAAGGGCATAAATTACAGAACAAGGAGTACAGATGATTATATATTTTTTCTGCGAATGTGAAATTAGCATCAAACTTTCTAACTCTATACTTGTATTACAAACGAATAACGTACTTGTATTACAAAAGAAAAATAATGATAACAACATCACCTACTGGCTGGAATCGGTTTAAGTGAAAATTAAAAAAAAAAGAAAATACGCCGCACATTTTTTTTCCTATTGTATTGTATTACCTAAATCAAAGAAATTTTAGAAATATATGATTCATTTGCTTCCTTTTCATCAAACTAATACTGCAGTACCTAACTCTTTTGTGAAGACTTGAACTTAACCGTGGGAAACGTAAGTAAAGAAAATCTTTAAAAAAATCATCATTGCAGTAGAAAACGTTACATAGGAAATATTAAACTGCCTATTTGCATAAGGCGGACGCCTTCGCCTCATAATCAAATGTATAACGGAAACACCGCTTACAGTATTCTTTTACGTTTTAGCGCCATGAATAAATTTCTTTTATTGAAATGCGCCGAGACGTATTTATTCATTTATTCCGCTCGTAGCTACGTCTACATCAATATCATAATCAAGCGGCTTGGCACATTTATTATATGATAACAAAAATTGTACGTGGGTGCCAAAAGCAAATTTTTGTTGCGGTAAATTCCTCGCTCCATTTATTGGTCCATTAGTAGAAATTGATACATTAATAATATTAAATTTACAATAACTTAAATGTACATAAACATCATTCTGTCCATTCTGTTGTAACTGTTGATTGTGGTAGGGCCACGCAGCAGCCTCAGATGGGCAGACTTGTCCGGGTAAGTACCACAACCACACAGAAGATCGGCGTAAAGTGGAAGTATAATACTTTCGCGTGTCTGGTGAGTGAGGTAGCCGAAGCCCAATTTCCAAAAGGTTGTCAACGCATCTGCAACCCTCGGATGTAGCGGATGTCCATGGGCGGCGGTATTTACTTAACATTAGGTGAACCGCCTGTTCGCTTGGACACATTTGGCATAAAAAAAACCTATTAATTGCTAGCTTTACAGAATTATCCATCAGTAAATAATTATCGATTGTGATTATGTGAAGAATGGCTCTTCACGGCATTTAAATTGAACCAAGTAGTCGCTCCGCGTAGTCTGTACATATCTAGTAGTCTATTCGCACGGCTATAAAATAATCCATCCACGTTTATATTGGCGCATTGACCGACGGACGTCAATATGCGGGCGTCGACTTGCCTATTGATTTGCGATGCCGCCATTTTTTACATCATCTCTATGAATCATTGCAGATTGGCTGTATGCCGCCCAACTGAGCCCCCGGCGACCTCTTCGGCACGTTCCAGTGCAATATATAGCCCTGCTGTTATGTAGTTTTTAGGCGATTAGACTTGCAAACGTTGGTCTTACAGACGATATAAAGGATGATTTTTAAAGTACATACTTTGACATAATAATCGATCATTCCATAATTCATATCATAAAAAAATATTAATATTTTATTTTAACAAGAAATACCAATTCAATCATTGTTTGTTCATCCCGTAAAGAGTAGTCACCCTATTGATAAGCGGTTTTGTAATTATGCGTTCAGTGAAGTTTTTCGTGCTCGTGAATTGGTTTTGTTTTGAGACGGTAAGGCAGGAATTTCTGAAGGTGGTCAATGTTTGAAAAAAAAAATGAAAATAATCTTGGTAAAAAAAGGATAGACTTTATAATAAATTCCTGCATATGCTGTTAATGTGTGCTAGCAGTACATACTACTAGCTACTCGATCAAATAAGAAAAATTGTAAAATTAGATGTTTTATATTTTTTTTGTTTCAAAACCGGGGTGTTTTTAACGATATCACTAAATGAATGATTGTCCATTGCTCAATGGTGCTAAATTGTATTCGAAAACAGAGTTATACCAAACTAAAAAGAAGCTTCATTCCTGATAACCATAAAATCTCTTAAACGGTACTTATAATTTAGGATATTGAACAGAAAAATTAAATTATATTAGTTTTTTGTCAGTTCCTCTAAACTGACCCGTTTTTTTCCCGAACCAGTAGTTTTTTTTCTAACTGGAAGTGTAATATTCCTATATTGAATAAAAATATTAGAAATTAAAGATTAATATTAGTAATTAAAACGACTGATAAAATCATTAAATTTTATTATTCACCAGCTGGAATATAATAATTAAAAAATTTGATCAACTTCGAAAAATTGTACGACATGATGTTGGCTTTTCATCTGAGAAAAGGCAACTTTACAAAAAAAACTCATCACACTGGTTACAAAGTTTAATTAACTTAGGTTTTAAAAAAAATCAAGTTCAGCCTTATCAAACAAAAGATCAGTTTCCTTTTGTGTCATCAGTGAGTTCACAGCACCGAGGTGGTCAGGCGAAGGGGTCACGTCGTGGGGAGAGGTCGCTGTTTAAGTCAATAAACATCCGAGAGAGCGCCCTTCGTCGGCCGAGGAAAACACTGGGAATGTATACACTACGCAACGTGCCAGTTTGTGTAACGGGGGAACTGAGACGAATGTTACAAACATGTACAAAACTACAGAAGCAAAGAACGCTGGCGTCCAGTGGGAGGGGGTAAGGGGAGGGTCGGGTAAGAGTAAGGGGGTCGCTACGGGGAGGTGTTTAGTTGTCTTCGATCTCCTGCTCCTGCTCCTCGTCGAACTCCGCGTCCTCGTCGGCGGTGGCCTCCTGGTACTGCTGGTACTCTGAGACCAGGTCGTTCATGTTGCTCTCCGCCTCGGTGAACTCCATCTCGTCCATGCCCTCGCCGGTGTACCAATGCAAGAAGGCCTTGCGCCTGAACATGGCGGTGAACTGCTCCGAGATGCGCTTGAACAGCTCCTGGATGGCGGTGGAGTTGCCGATGAAGGTGGCGGCCATCTTGAGCCCTCTGGGCGGGATGTCGCACACGGCGGTCTTCACGTTGTTGGGGATCCATTCGACGAAGTACGACGAGTTCTTGTTCTGGATGTTGAGCATCTGCTCGTCGACCTCCTTCATGGACATGCGTCCACGGAAGATGGCCGCCACGGTGAGGTAGCGTCCGTGGCGCGGGTCGCAAGCGGCCATCATGTTCTTGGCGTCGAACATCTGCTGGGTGAGTTCTGGCACGGTGAGGGCGCGGTACTGCTGGCTGCCGCGCGACGTCAACGGCGCGAATCCGGGCATGAAGAAGTGGAGACGCGGGAATGGGACCATGTTCACGGCCAGCTTGCGGAGGTCCGCATTCAGCTGACCTGGGAACCTGAGGCAGGTGGTGACGCCTGACATGGTGAGCGACACGAGGTGGTTGAGGTCGCCGTACGTGGGTGTGGAGAGCTTGAGCGTGCGGAAGCAGATGTCGTAGAGAGCCTCGTTGTCGATACAGTAGGTCTCGTCTGTGTTCTCCACCAGTTGGTGGACCGAGAGTGTGGCGTTGTAGGGTTCCACTACTGTGTCTGACACCTTTGGCGAGGGTACAACCGAGTATGTGTTCATGATCCTGTCGGGGTATTCTTCTCTGATCTTAGAAATAAGAAGGGTCCCCATGCCGGAGCCGGTGCCGCCGCCGAGGGAGTGTGTGAGCTGGAAACCTTGGAGACAGTCGCAGGACTCTGCTTCCTTGCGTACTACGTCCAAGACGGAGTCTACGAGTTCAGCTCCCTCGGTGTAGTGGCCTTTGGCCCAGTTGTTGCCGGCGCCCGACTGGCCGAAGACGAAGTTGTCCGGGCGGAAGATCTGCCCGAAGGGTCCTGAGCGGACAGAGTCCATGGTGCCGGGCTCCAGGTCGACGAGGATCGCCCTGGGCACGTACTTGCCGCCGGAGGCCTCATTGTAGTACACGTTGATGCGCTCCAGCTGCAAGTCCGAGTCGCCATGGTAGGCGCCGGTGGGGTCGATGCCGTGCTCGTCGGAGATGATCTCCCAGAACTGTAACAAGTGAAGGTGTCATAAGCACAACTTGTTCCTCTCAAGTTGAAAACAGGGCTCTGAACGTCTCCAAATAATATTAGGGTTGACAGGACATTGTGTACAGCAACTGTTGGTAAAACGAGCCCGTTACCCAGGCAATGGGAATTCAAACACGCGATTACAAGAGATTTGCATATTCACGAGGCCGCCCCTGTCCAACTTTCTTCGTTATCGACCCGTGTACACGTATTGCCACAATGACTCATCAGCCGTTTCGAGCGGATGAATAACAAATCGCACAGTCAGTTTCGTTTTACATAACGTCACCTTATAAGGTGAGGTGGGCAGACTTGTTTTATGGGCATGGTTGGTCGTCTGACTGCACACCGAAAATGGTGATGTCCTCAGATGATTGAGTTCCCGTAAGGACAGACTTCGGCATTGGTTATTATCTCTTCGGTGCGTTGGCGCAGATTACATCGTTAAGACGAGGCACTAAGAGCTCGATAACTCATTTGTTGAAAGGCACGATAAATTTCATCGCAGACTGATAAATTGAAAGTACAGTTAGGCGTTCGCCGTTCATGCCAGCGATCAATTAAAATAACTCGCTTTATCGGAGATTCAGATCGAAACAAAGCGGACGCTGTGAAAATCTCTATTCCATTTATACGCGTTAAAGATAATTTAGTAAGTAACTTTTTAACGGTATTGAGAGATGCGAAAAAATTCCGAGTATAGAGGTTTTATTAGTCGACGAAAAACTAAATATCCAATAGTTGCAATGAACTATAATCAATAGTGCAATTTTATTATTGCGATAAGATGTATTCACCTTCATGACATCATGGCTTCAATTTAATCGCACAAAGTATGAAAACATGTTCCCCTGATAGTGTATCTTTTCAGAAATTATAACACTTGTCACTTAGCAAGGTGCACTTTAAACGATGTTCTGTTACGAAGTCTTCAACGTAAGTATTTTACTCTGGCGCACTGTTGGTAGACGTGCCTGGTAGGTTACCGACACGCCTTCAGCTGAGCGCAGAGTTTAACAGATCTTGTAAATAGTGAAATCCGCTAGTAAACCTTTGAAATTTTGTTTTCCAAACATTTTATGTACTGTAAAAAATTGAGTTTCCTATGATCATATTGCACATGGTGGATACGTGCAGTATTCAGAGTTTGATAGTACTCGCATGTGTCACACAAAACATGTGATCCATAAATGTTTGTTAAGAATGATTATTCATGTTCTAGTTTTGCATCTCCCAAGACTGAAATATAATTAAAAAAAATCATTTTTGGCTAACAATCATCTTAAAAGCGTTATAATAAAATTGAATTCTGATGGTACAGCGAGTTTATCACACGCGCCTTACGCGAAATTATTCAGAGTATCAGTTCGATTCTAAGATTAGTCTTCGGAATTGAATTTTAGTGCATTAAATTCAGAAAAGCGTGACGAGTGAGTTTTTAACACTTCCATTGCATCGGCCGCCTACATGAAGATATACACCGAAGCAGCGTTTTTCGTGTAAAAAAACTACCTAATTTGGGAGCTATTGGATTCATCATTGAATCGGAGAGTTGGGAATCAAACGCACGTTCTAGTTTTGTACTATAAAGCGATGTAAGATAAACTTAAAAGCATCAATTTTGCTACGGCACTGCGTCTATTGTTATAACAGCCGCTACAAATCACCGTTGACCACAAGTCAACATATTTATTACATATCAAAATATCAAATTACACGGAGGTTTTGTTTTAGCGACGTAGTCAAATAAAGTTTAGGTGAGAAAAGAGGACAACAAAATCTAGATTAAGGTGAGTATTTTACTTCTGTAAAAGCGACAACATTTTTTATTTTCAGACCAAAAATACTTGGTTTTGTGACCCGCGGTATTCGTAGCAGCAACGAGGCGTAAAGTATTCATTACGAATAATTAATGCAGTATCCGTTTGACACTTCGTTATAAACATTGTATACGTATGTACGGCTAACTACTGTTAACCAATTAGCGGTAACCTAATGATTTCCTGTGGTAATTTGAAGCATAAATGTACAACAATTTGCTATATTATTACAATACATATATTATCTTACTATTATTTATTAAATTATTAACGTCATTAGACGTCTACTTTTTATTTTTAAAGTAAAAGAAAATTATAATTAAAACATCATTAACTATTAACGTTCTTCTAAACTCAATTATAATTTTATTTAATTATTATCGTATGCATATTAATAATAACGCAATAACGGACTCTACTTTCAACGCGTAGGTTAATTGAGAGCTTATTATTGAGAAGAGAAAGTGTAAGCTCTGCACCAAATTTAGAAAGCAGTAAAACGCAATTACTACACATCAAGTGCCTCACTTCCACGAAGTTATTGCCATCCCGTTCATTTCAATGAAGCTGAGCCAATGAACTATATTTATAAATGATCAAAAATCGATCAACATTCCCATATACGGCAATCATGGAAACACTTGTTTTTCAAATACGAGAACTCCCGTATATTACTTGTTTAGCGTTTGCGATTACTAGTTGTGTTACCCTGGATGTTTTAAAATTCTAACAGAATACAAAAGAATGCCTTTAGGGTTTTCAGTGTAAACAGCCAGTCATAAAAGCTCGTCTAAACAGAAATTTCGTCATAAAACTGCGTTTCGGCACATTCGTGTGTACTGGGCTATTTTAGCCATTGCGGAAGAAAGTTGCGGTCAACGAACTGCACGCGCCAGACTCTTCCTTCCTATCTGTTATAATTAACATAATCTACATTTTGCGATGCTCACCGCATCTAGCTAACATTTTTTTCTTGTCGTCTTGGTAAAAAGTTACTTATTAGAATGCAAAGAATTCAAAGCAAGTGAAAAAAAGCATTTGTTTGCTAAATCAATTTAAAAAAAACTTCTTTGTATTAGAAAGCCTATTATAAAATTCAGTTATAAATACAGAGCCTTACACAATTTATAATCATACTTATTTAATTTTTATTTTTAGAAAAACTTATCACTATCACTAATCAAAAAACTAGGAATCTTTAAAAAAGTTAGAAATATCGATGAAAGTATCGAGAAAATAGTTAACATGTATGATTTTCATAATTACATTTTCTTAAATCATTTTAGGAATTTTTATTTTAAAATCATATGCTTTCCTCCGCGTTTAAAAAAAAGACACGGTACTAAAAAATGAAACAAAGAACATTTTTTCCTCTATTGTGGCGTCTTCCGTCCATATGGCTGGCCTCTATTATTTTTTCCTGTACTCGAATTTCGAACGTTACAAAGGACGGCCTACGATTGGTCGGCCCTTATCACGGGACGCCAACTGTGGCCTTGGGATTCGAAAATGCTTGCCCCTTTGTTGACGGTTGCGGCTTAACGGTCTTTTTTTTTATATTACTAAAATTTCGCACGATATAAAATATACAATGATGGGAGTCTGTTAATAGTGATCGATGCAAATGGATGCAGCAGTTTGATATTTCTTGGAAATCGCAGATGGATATGATACGGGCGGCAAAGGTGAAATTGCACACGGAAACGTCGGAAACTAGGTCCGCGGACCGGCAAATGGCGACAAAACACGTGGAACTAGTCGCGCCCGGAGCGCCCCCGTCCGATCGATATTAAATAGGCGCGGTCGAGAACGACAGATACCTTTGAAAAACTGTAGTTTAACCAAACCAGCTTTCATTGTGCTTAATACCCATGCAAATGCAAATGTAAAACATATTCCATAATCCCAGCGGAATGCTAGACAAAGTAATGCTCGTGGAATACAAATTAATATTAGAACTGTTAGAATTAACTGATGAATCAATTCCACGCAAGTATTTCTCCATGACACTGTAGCGTCACAAAATGCCGGCTGCGAATTCCCAGACGATGTTAACGGAACGTTAGATAAAACAAATGAACAGAAGCAATTAATTACCTTAGCGCCGATCTGGTTGCCGCACTGACCAGCCTGGATATGCACGATTTCCCTCATATTGTATGTGAACTTAATAAATTACTTAACACTAATATTTTTCTGCTCCGCACGCACCACGTACTTTCGTGGCTGCTTGAAGAATAATCTCGTTCCGTTTTGAGCCAACGACGAAAGCGGCGGATGGGCTAGTGATGTAACAAAAGTGGACTGCGTTGTATCGATAAATTTTGTCGCATTGCGACATAACGTTCTTCTAATTAAACAATTTAGTTTAAATAACTTTAATATTTAGTCTTGTTTAAAGCTTTTATTATTTTATTTAAGCGATGTATATGCATACATACACAAAATATAACATAGTATACAAATAACGTTTTGTAAAATTCAGTGAAAAGTAAGTTTTGTACAGTCTTAAATTTTTCAATATGGTACTCCCATATCATAAACACAATAAAAGATACTTTATAATGAAAGGCCTACGGACCGATGAACTTTCTTTTATGAGAGTACTTGGTAAAAGGAAATAATCAACTTAAATATTTATTTCAATATCAAACGCCACATAATTAAGCTTATTGGGTCAATTACTTCATCTTTTATTTTTACTCGTTTTGATTTATGAGTTCTTGAAATATGTCTCGAATATATATATGTTCTTAATGAAATATTAAACAAACAAAGTTAATTTCAGCGGAATATTTGTATTTTAGTTATCAATCAATACGTATGTTGTTGTTGTTTGCGTTTGCTATTAAGTAGATAGTCAATGTTTTTAAATAAGCTAAAGGTAAAAGGTTGCAACGAGTTGATCTGAACCTACCTTTCACCAGACCTTATATGGTCCAACGTAACAGATGGTGGTGGTTGCTGTATTAGTTATTCAAAAATGTAAAACGATCTCTCGAAATTGACCGTGTCGATGTTAAACTTAAGATAATTGAATACGTAAACATTTATTATTATTGCTAAGATGCTATATTGTCTATAGAATCAAAAATAAATCTGTGGGAATATACCAAAGCAATGTTGAATTATTTCTTGAATTTACTAGAATTCAAATTTCAAATAGATTTTTTAAAGGATCCAGTAACCACAGATGCTGTAGTATTCGAAACGTGGGGAATTTAAAAACAAATTAAGCACAACAAAATTTAATCAACACATAGTTTTTTTTATTTTATATAAAAAAAAAGCAGAAGAAAATGACAGAAGGAGTTAATTTAATAGGAGCATCCACAAAATGACGAAGAAAGGTTGTTATTTTAGAAATACTTAAAACTTGCTATGTCATTGTTGCATACAATCGTCGTTTCGAGGATGTATATATGTAAATGAGTGAATTCTTTATAAAACACAACTACGGTTCCGCGTATGGCTGACTAAGAAGAAACAATGTGCCAGCTGTTCCTTCCCAGGCGTTATATAAAAGTCAATAAAGCGTCGCAAGCGCTTCTGACTAAATTTCTATTTTGGTCAGTTGTTTTGTTATATAAAACAGTTTTCATACAAGAAAATAAACAATTAAAAACGGGCTTATGTCAACGGCAAATTAGTTACTATTTTTGGGCACTTCAACCATATCAAAATCCTTACTAATATTATAAAGGCGAAAGTTTGGATGTTTGTTACACTTTCACGCAAATACTACTGTATGGATTTTAATGAATCTACAATAATATAGCTTATACATCAGAATATAACATAGGCTATAATTTATATACATATTTTTATGTATATATCTGTCTTTCTCGGCAGACGTAGTCGCGGTCAGCAGCTAGTCTGAAATAAAGGTGTTTGTTCTGTTCGTCGGAGGTTAAGTTGATACGTAACTAGGTTTAGTTCTCATTCTCACCATAGATCATTGTGATTAATGTGACAGGTGATTCGCCGCCATTTTAGAGGTCGTGTCAAGGATATCGATGTCTACATTTAGTACGTACGATCTACATAACAGACTTCATATTAGAAGTGTTGAACTTCCGCGCTTCGTAATGAGTGAGTGAGGATAGCACGGGGCCAACTTTATTAAGAGCTACGGGTTTTGCAAATGTCCATGGGCAGGCGGTTATCACTTAACATCAGGTGAACCGCCAGCTCGATTACCCCTTTCTCACATAAAGAAAACCTATGATGTTAGATGTTAATTACGTTTTTATCGAAATTGAGGTTATCTCGTTATTTTCGCTTTAAATAGCGGTCAATACGAAGCGTAATGTAATTTTTTCGTCGGCGAGTATGTAAGCGGCGAGACCGCTTGTTCTTAAAGCGCTTTTATTTGAAAAATTAACATTATATAAATGTTGTCTGTTATTTTATCGTGTTTTACAACAAGTCCATTTTTCTATTAACGAAAAACATTACCGACTTCAAATATCTCGCTCTGTATTCATTTTATAATTGATTTTCAGGAGTTCCCTAAGCATCACCGGAGACCAAGATCCAATGCCAATGAAATTAATATGGAACCGCATGGGAAGCATCAGCTTTGAAATAAAAAAAGAATCATCAAAATCGGTTAAAATTGAGTCAAAAGTTATGAGGTAACAAACATAAAAAAAATACAGTCGAATTGAGAACCACCTCCTTTAAAGTCGGTTGAAATATAATGAACTCAATAACATATCTTTAGCTATTCGATGTTACTATCACCTAAATAAACCAAACCGTTGGGCAATTATTTATCTGTGCCTTAGTACGTATTGCTGCTTTGGTTCGCTGATGATTTGGTGGTAAAAGCAGAATTGCTGGAGTCATGTCGAATGCTAAACGACCTTTGTTCAACTTCTCGTATCTGATTGTGGATGGATTAATACTTGATTATTTGTATAAAGTAATTTAAAGTAGTTTGAGACCTCTGCCTTTGTTTTATGACAAAAAGTTGCCAAACGAGCAGGCGGTTCAACTGATGCTAATTTTGGATGCAAAACATTAAAAAATTGGGGCCCGATTACCTTACCCACCAGACGGAACGCGAAAGAATAATTTTTCCACTTCACGTAGGTCTTCTCTGAGGTCGTTATGGTGATGTGCCTGCCCATTTATGCAACAGCCGAAGCTGATTTGTCTGCCCTGCCTAGGAGGTCCACAGGCACATTCGAAGGTATTCCTATCAAGATCACATTACTTCAGTAATAGTAAAAATATGTATTTTAACACTTATTTATCCATACTTCGATAAATGCGAAAGTAAAGCTAGTAGTGTATAAGTATCAACACAAACTTGCGCTTATGTTTTTGAGTTTGAAATAAAACTAACGTATAAATTTTTCTTGATCACATTGGAACAATGCAAAGGTTTGGTTATTTTTTTTATTATGCATTTTGGAGCGTATCGGTCTCCTATCGATAAATGTTAATATATTTCATGGAAACGATCGTATCAGCAGATAAAAAGCGTAAACAACTGCTCGACTTCAGATAATGCCGAGTGATACGTTTCTCAAATTATCTGCTTACGTCAAATCACAACAATATGGCGGCCGTGTTGACTAATAGTGCACTTTGTTATAAAGATGGTGCAAAACCATAAATAAAGAATTAAGAAGAAGAAAGATGGTGCATTTCGATACTGCGCTGCGCTTAAAAATTGTACCGCTTTATATTATACTAGCTGTGCCCGCGACTTCGCCTGGAATTTTAAATAAAAAAAATCTAATATAAATAAAATCCCGTCCAAATCGGTCCAGCCGTTTCGGAGATTAGCCGGAACAAACAGACAGACAGACAGACAGACAGACAAAAATTGTAAAAAAAATATTTTGGTATATATACCGTGTATACATCCATATGCATTTTGTACAAAGCGGTTATTTTACTATTACAAACAGACACTCTAATTTTATTTATATGTATAGATGACATATATAAATTGAATATGACAAATACACAGTACGTATGATATGGAAAGAGATATAATATAGAAGTGCAATACTATTACATCAATTGGCGTAATTTTTGTTGACTCAGTGCGTTTCGGTGCGCAAGTGTCATATTATATTGACTTTACTACGTATTTTTTTAAGAGTAAAATCGTTGATTTAAAAAAAGACGTGTTTGTTGTTCCAAAAATTGGATTCTCCGAAACTGTATTATTATGTGCAGTTCGTGACTGGATTCTCCTACGATACGCAAGCAGGAAAAGTTCTATCCGTTTCTATCGGTGAAAGAGAGGAAGGAAGCCAATGGAATGCAGGTTTCTGTGGTTCAGATCCCGTTTAGAACGAAGCTATCGTTGCTACGAAAACAAAGGAAAGTTGGTAGCAAATGATTCAAGTTGAGCCGTTGATCAAGTCTGTTGTATGGGAACTCTACTTAAAAGTTATTTATTTTGTTTTTAAAAACATATCATCAGTGAAAATTTCACCTGTCTAATTATCACGGTTCACGGGACAGGCTGGTGACAAACAGGGTCTCGTTTTACCCCTTGTGTACGGAACCCTGAAAATTCAAATTCCTACTTCAATCCTATTAACATTAAAAACTCATATTTATAATTCAAAAGTAACTAAAAGTTCGTGTTAGCTGATCATTCTTTCCTAGAGATGATATTATTTAAGTTATTAAATAAAAATCCTTCTCCACACACTGCAGCGGCGCCTCTGCGGTCGAAAAGTCCGCATTTTCACGGGCGTGTCTCGTCACTAGGCAGACGAGCCAGCCGTACACGCTTACGAGCGTACGACAACTTATCGGACTGCATACAAATTCATAGTTCGCTGGACGCTTGCGTTTTTATTTTTTTTTATGAGAAAAGGTGGCAAATGGGTTGGCGGTTCACCTGTTAGGTGATAACCGTCGCCCAGGGACATTTGCAACACCCGTCGGTCTCCATATGCGTTGCGTTTTAACAAAGTGGGCTCCGGCTACCTCACTCGCCAGACGAAACGCAGAAGTGTTACACTTCCACTTCACGCCGCTTCCTTGAGGTGGTGGTACTTCCCCGGACACCTGCCCATTTAGCAACAGTGAAGACTGTTGTAGTGAACATTGGATTAGTCCGACCACAGCTAGTTTCTTTATCAACACAAACAAAAAATAGTTAAGAATTCGAAACGACG